AGTCGACTACGAGTCTGACACTCCTTTTCCCGCACGGGATGACGAGGAAGGTGAGCTGCGCCAGCAGCGTAATACGAGCCTTGCTCGCGCCTTGCCGACCCCATGTCCGTTCCCTGACTTCTCGTCAACTGAGGGACGTTGTGTAATCATCAATGACAAGGAACAGAGGCGGCAGCTTGAAGCTGCCCATAAGGCGGCTTTAAAGCGCGCCCATCCACGGTCGGTCATTGACCCTCGTGTGGAATATAGCTTCCAACAATTATGGTCGCTACTTTTTTAACCATTACTTTTTTTGATGTACGCACACATTACGCTATTAACCTTCAAAATTTACAACTAATTTGCTGGAAATTTCGTCCAAAAGTAAACGCTCCGCTAGGAATCATATTTATAACGCCAACCTCCTTACTTTGCTGTGCATGTTCGTCAGGTAGCATGATTGCACCGGTAGTATGCACCTGTATACAGAAGTCAAGTTGTTCTGTCGAGCTCTCAGTAAAAGCGTGATTCTCGCGGCGGCCACGCTGAAATATTTTTGTTCTGATGCTGAGGTTTCGTCGATGGGACCCGTCGAAGTGACCCCTCGAATCAGTATCAAATACTTCCGTCGTCATTCTACGACACAAGGCTTAACATTCCTCCAAGGAGGAGACGTTCACGCTACTTAGCCTTCCACTATAAAGGTCCTGGACCTTGTGCTGTTCATCATCAACGGGAAGTGTTGTTGTACCTCACATAAAATTTCACAATGATGTCCAGCTTGTTGATGACGAGCAGGACTTAGGTGAAAGATTCCAACTTGCTCTACTGCAAGCGCAGGAGTCACACAGACTTTTACAGTCATCATGACGTCGTAATCACAGTTCTAAACTGTCTGAAGTTATTTCTCGTGCTGATGCGGCGCCATTACATGCAGGTTTCCACACGCGCAGCGATCAGAACAAGATTAAGCAGCTTGCCGGGCGACATATCAACAACAGGTAACCGGTTCCAAATATGTTATTTTTTTGCAGAAGCAGCAACGTCCTTTGTATCACAAAGGATCTGCCTTGAAACCCTTGAGCTGGCATCAGTGTTGATGAGTGTCATTCACCTTGCGCACTGGGTGAGAAAATTCGCGCTATTGTACCTATCTAAATCTTTACCAGCTTGCTTCAGCTAAACCGACGTCCGCCAAGTGCGTTGTTTTAAGCTTGACGTTGCGAAACTCATTGAACACAGCAGACATCGATATGGTGGCCCATCATTCAAGTTTCTGCTATTTTCAGTCCCGCTAGTCTACATGAATCGCTTAACAACTACCGACCAGGGATCTTAAGAAGATAGCTGCACTATGTGGCTCTGCCTCTTCTCCAAGGGAGATAAATGCCGGTGGTATGCCAGATCATAAAATGATACGGCTTCAGGGTCAAATTTTCGAATGAGGACATTGTTCTCGTTTCGTAAAGTATTGATGCGGACCCTGGTGTATTCGTCGGCCCACCAAATGTTCCACATAACTGTAGATCGCTCCATGCTCAAATTCCAGTGCCGGCGGAGGTCGATCTCTTGTGTTTAGCTCTCACTAATCTTGGTGGCAGTCTCTGTTCGACCCGGCATGCATCCAAAATTTTCAGTCCCCAAAATTGCACTCCAAGATGAACCATCGCGCAACGCTGCTTGAGGCACCTTTAAGGGCTCAGAATCGTGTCACATCTGAACTAAAAGAGTGACATCGTGGTATAGCTTCAGTTAGCCCACGTAGAACACAAAACGTGCTATCTTCATTTTTGGATGTTACATGTATTAATAAATTATTTCTGCTCACGACACATTCGTGTGTATTGGCACTGACGTGTTGCTTTTGTACATCCTAGTTCTCAGCCATTGTGTTGCGCACCATTCGTACGACAATCAGTCACATTGCAAAAAACACTGATTTGCTTCAAGTAGTGTAATCCTAAACTCATTTTCTATCAACAGCTCCTTCTCTGCTCAGTTCCATGCGTATTTGTGCGTTGTCATAGGCACACCGGGGCTAACCGAATAAATTCTGTAAAATGGGCTTAAGCCTGCAGAAGCATGCACCACGTTAATTAACGCAAACTCAGTGAGTTCAAGCAATTGGATCCAGAAGAGCAATGTTTTTGCTCATGATTTTGCAAAGAAACCCGTTTAGGACGTTGTTCTCTTGTTCCGTCTGACCGTCTGTGTGCGAATAGGTAGTAGTTGACTCTTCGATCTGGTGCCGATAATTTCGGACTACTTTCGTCGTGAAGCATATATCTCTATCCAATATAATTGCTACCGGCAAGCCATCGCTGTGAAACACTTTGTGGAAGAGAAATTCGGTTGCATCTTCATAAATTACAGTATTGCGTATAGCAGTGAGATGAGCCAGCGTGCTCGAACGGTCTAAAATGTCTATACGCGGGCATTATCAAACGCGTTTTTGAGGGCCTGTAAGTTAGTAGGTAAGTAAGTCCATATTTATGACAACCAACAGTTTGCCAAAACCAGCTGATTGTACAGAGGTGCTGTCGCATGCAGGTTGGGATCGTTAACACGTTTCACGCGTTCGCACATATGTGCTTACGCACTTATCCATGATGAGACATCAATACATAGCTCTCACCGAGCAGGTTGTCGTATCTCTTTCAAGCGCGATCATGACGCACTATTTTACGTTAAAAGCATGGCCGGGAACATGGTCATCTCGACTAATCATATCCTTGTATAAATATTCTTGGCGGACGCTCAATTAACGCTCTCGCGATAGTGTTTAGGGTTCCTATTCGTCGTTGAGGCAAAAAGATACAGTTAGTACACCTGAGACCCTCTTGTGATAGTTGGCTTCGATTATAGCTACCTCAGGGCAAAAATTGGTAATAACCAGAACGTGAAGATGGTGCATTCATGTTAGGACGAAGCTTTTCAATTGTCATATATACACCCGCTGGGACCAGAGCGAGGAGTTAAATACAGCTCCAAATTTTTTTTTATGAATTCCGTTTATCTCGCGAGTCAAAGTTCTGCAACGTGAAAGAGATACCCGCTCCCTCCAACGATAGAAACCGTCAAGAAGCTAAATAAGTTTATTTTCAAATATTGCCTAATACATCAATGCTTCTTACCATGTGTCAAAATAGCTTTATTCCGTGTAATATTGGAGTGGAATTAGAGAGAGAATAAGTATTGCTAGCGGCTTTAGCTTTCTGTGTCGAAATGACAAACGGAGACTGTGATCAGTCGCGTACGAATTATCACTGCTGTGAGTACTCCAACCACGAAGCTCTGGGAGTGGCTACTTACTTTCCTAGGGACGAATAATGCACCACCACCATGCAGCCTTCTAATTACACGTGTTTAGGCTCTTTCGTACATTGACCAAGACAAAATGAGAGATTTGTATTTTGGTTGAAGATTACGGGAAGTCAGTGTGAACGCCCCATGACGCACTTGAGTAAAGTTCCAAATCATAAGCACTACAATAACCGATACGGCAATATAGACATGTGCGATTTCGGCACCAACAAAAGCGTATTTTTAAATGCTTCATGGGGGCATGGTATATAGAATAGACCAAGGACACTATTCTGACAATAATATAATTAGTGTCTTGGGCTGGCCGGTTATTATCACCAGTATAATGGAAATTGCGTTGAAATGACACAGCTCCTCCCTAATCATCTAAACATAAGTGCTGTTGTTTGGGTTTTCTGGACGTTATGACATGATATCCATTACCGTTCGTTGAAGTAAATGACAGCCGATGGTGAACGCCGAAAGGTCATAAATGACATCATACGGTCGGTCCAAAATGACCACAATCGGTACGCACGGCGGCATCGTCATTACATCACTCCCAGAAAGTGGCAAGTGGTTCTTTTTTTTTCGTTATTAAACATTTGTTTGAAGGTATATTATACGTCGAGTCGGCTTGGTGTCGGTTGCACTTTTGCGTCGCGAAAATTGTGGGCTTTTGCAAATGATAATGATGGCATCATCCATTGATGAGCGCGTCAGACACAACACGTGTTGCTTTTTCGAAAACGTTGTGAAGCGATAATTGTGATTTATATTTTCAGTGCATTAAATGCTATTTCTCGTCCCATAGGCAGTATTACAGCACTGATTATCTTGATATGCTGCGGACGGCAGTGCCCTTGATATTGTGAAAAAAAATATGATACCTCTTAGAGACGCCACCGCATAATATAACGAGGTATTGCTTAGCTAGCGTAACGCATTAATTACCAGCATGTATATGTGACCATGCACTTACGTGCGTACATGCAAAAAGTATCAACACGTTCAACTCTTGCCGAATGTGCTGACGCTTTTTATCGATCTGGCGGCTACGAGAGAACGTTGATAATCCATTAGCATGAAATTATTTTGGATTTACCACATCCGCGTTCAGAAATAATGCAATTGTTGTCTTTGGCCCGTATGAGCAATATGCCATCCCGCTAAAGTAACCGACTCTGATAACAGTAAGGAAAAAAGCCAAGCTGCTGTTCGATATAGCATGCGCTATCATGGAGTTATGGTGACCATTTTATCGGATCAAAATTTGCACTTTACAAAGAAACTTTGGTAAATTTTGTCTTAAAGTCCTTGGCGGATGAAACATGTTTACTGCGAGCAGTTCCCAGACGGATGGTCAAACCGAACGCGTCAATCCTTTGGCAGACTACAATATCAGGAGTAATTACGCGGAGCAAACGCGGTTCTGGAGTGAGATGCTACTAATTCTTAAGTCCGCGTAAAGCAACAGTGCACGCCTATACTGGCTAAATATATTTTTATATTGCACCCTCATGCCTTATTGACACCGCTAACGTTTTGTTTTAGGCTTGGTGTGAAGGGGCTGTAGATATTAAAAGATATGCTGATATCTGTTGAGTAGTGGAAGGCAAATGCCGAAGTGAATTATGATATTAGTTACTATAAGAAATTGTTCTAAGCGAAATCATTAATAGTTTTTGGGCCAAACTCGAGTTTATAGTGTTAAGAGTCTATATAATAATAATAGATGGCTGCTATCAAGTTTTAATGGATCTTCCGTCGATCCCATATACGGCGGCGAGCACTCCCAGCGGTATGCTATTGGAGTGGCTTGTGATGCCACAAGTA